ACACACACAATCCTAGTGAGTACAATTTTAAACTTTTATAACTCAGAAATGCTATAATCATACAAAAAACATCGTGAAAGCTCAGTTATTTAAGTTTATTTCACACTTCTATACTATAATTACCATACTACTATACTAGTTTTGTGAATTTTGAATAACATTTTTCATTTTAATTTTTTGCTTCAGTCAACAGTTGCATCTTCACTCACAGGGGCTAAAGGTTTCATAATACATGAATTGCCTATAGTACTTACAGCAAATGAGTCACAACACATTTCATCTCACAATAAGTCTGTAGTCAACCAAAAGTAATTTTCACATGTGCTACTGTTAAAACTACAGTGCTCTTCACCAAGCTTGAAGAGATGTCCATTTTTTTTTAAATAAAAACTCTCTGAGCAATACTTCTTGTTTATACCATTCAATTTTAGTTCTTAGATACAATCCATCCTATTAAAATATTTGTGGCTCCTTTTTCTGTCTTTCCCACATTAGCCTCTTTCCCAGATGATTTCAACCACACACCATCAACACTCCCAAAAAGGCAAATTCCCAACCATGCTAACTAGATACAAACCAAGGCAGAACCGCGTAGTATGAGTCTCAGCAAAAAGTCCCTAACCTTAGGGACCTCATTGGCCACTCATATTACATATCTCCTCTCACACATTTGATAGCAACCTATAAATCCATAGCTTTTAGACAGGGAAGTTTCATCAATTAAAAGCAAAACCACTACCCTATCATTTAGACCATCTATTTTCAAATTAGTCAAAGGGATCTTGAGGGGTGCTGCTGAAACTCTTAGAACTATCCCATAACATTCTCCTCCTCCTTCCTGTGAATGGTTCAAGGGCCAGCTTGTCACAGCTCTGTTGTTATACATCCGACTAATGAACATAAAGCTATAACTGCAAATCTAAAGAAAGGCCAAAACAAACAAATAAAATGAGTTGACCAAAACACAAATTAGCTCTTGCATTCTGACCACAGAATTGAGGCAGGGGTGGGCAGCAGAGGGCCGAAGGTGTACAGTAGACTGTGTGAGGGTCACGAGTACTTGGCATGCTGTGGTGACACCCTTTGAAGGAGTACTCCAAAACCATGCATTGTGGTCAACCAGTGTTACCTCACATCCCCCTGACTGGCCAGCACCCACCCCAGGTTTCCTTCTTTATTATTATTACAAGGTACTCCAAACAACATCTGCTGTGGAATGAGTTGTGAGCTTCCAGAAACATGCTGGAAACCTAAATCTAGTTCCTATGAATGTGCTCTTCTTTGGAAATCAGGGGTTTGTGGATATAGTCCTGTTAAGATGAGGTCAACCTGGGAGAAGGTGGGCCCTAGCTCCACAACTGTGCACTTACAAGGGAAATTTGTTCTACAGAGAAGGCCACGTGAAGACGGGCAGAGAGCAGAGAAAGGCTGCAAAAATCCAAGGGGTAGCCAGGGTGGCTGACCACAGTGTAGCAGCGGACTCCTCAGATCTGCAAAGTCACCTGGTATAGCATCAAGTTAAGAAAAACAGCTCTTAGCTGTCTAGCAAGGTCAGACAACCCCCAGCCTCCATAGGTTGAGATAGTCTTTTTATTACGAAAAAAAGAAGAAAGTTAGGGAAGGAAGAAAGAGAGGGAGGGAGGGAAAGAGGGAGGGAGGGAGGGAGGGAGGGAGGAAGGAGAGAGTGAGAAAGAAACAAATAAAACAGAAAGAAGAATGGAAACATTCCTCACTAGAACCTTCAGAGGAAGCACACCCCTGCTCATACCTTGATTTTGGGTCTCTGGTCTACAGAATGTGAGAGAATTAACTTTCGTGTTAAGCCACCCAGTTCAGGGCGCTTTGTTCTGACAGTCTTTAGGAAACATATATAGTATGTCTGCAAAAATATGTAAATTCAAAATGATGCCTATTTATACCAGAACCAAGAGTACTCAGAATTGGCAAAAGAAAGGATGAGAGATATTTAGACTCCTGTGTAGAGGTGAAGAAAGGCAGGGAGGCGAGTGGCTGAAGAAAACAGCCATGCACATTGGAGGCAGGAGTTGAGCAGAAGGAGACATCTTGTGACAGACTCATCACCAAGGAGCTAACTATCCCTCCCAGGGGCGATGCAGGCGTTTTTTAAATAAATCTTGTCACATTTAAGTAGCAACAAATCACAAAATTGTCAGTTTATCACCAATATATAAGCATGGTAAGTTTCCTGTCTACAATTTGGCATTTTCCTTAACTGTGTTTCATCATCCTAAATTAGACAGCAAGTGAGGCAGAGAAGGTTCTGTTGCTCTGTCTGTCTCTATATAGTGCCATATCCACCATTTCTAAGGTGCTAAGTTTTAACTGATTGATGACGATATTGCTAAAATGGTTACATTTTAAGCTGGAAAAAGAAAGCCTTTTTTTTCTTTCTTTCTTTCTTTTTTTTTTTTAATGTGAGAAGTTAGGGGAGGAAAGACAGTTTCTAATATTGATCTGGCACCCATGGAGCCCAATATATGTCTGTCTGTAACGACAAAACTCTGCACTGGAAAGACTGGAGGCAGGGTCTCCAGAGCTTTCCCAGCAGTAATAAGGGGAGTGTATTGTTGCTAATCCTGAACACACAGGGAGCCCAGTTAATTTTGAAAGATAAAACAAAAGTGCTGCCTTGTGGCAAAAGGCTACTTCTTGGTGCCATTAAACCAAGCACATCCCCGCCTGAGTATTAATGGTGAAACCTTCTATATCTCCCCCGCTGACACTCCTTTTAGGAAGCTACTAGGAAACAGGCCAAATGCAGCCTCGATATGCAAATACCACTTAGCAAGTACAGATAAGCTGGGCTACATCATACTCAGAGCACTCAAAAAAAGATTCAAATTTTAATACATTAGCACTAGAACATGCTGTACAAGGGAAATTGCAGTTGTCAACCTGTGAATTCTGGCTCAGGGTAAGTTCATCCAAGGAAGTAAAAGCTCAATTTAGAATCTTTTCGTCCCCCTCCCCCAATCCACGTGCTTCTTTTAGACTGCGGGAGGACGCTGTTACTCAGCAAATGTATTTCACACCAAGAAATGGTTAGGGTATATTTATCAGGGGAAGAGATGTGAGGTTCCCACTGAAATAGCTGAAGTTGTTCTTCAAAGGGCCAAATCATAAGTGGTGGCAAGGTGTCCTAACGGCTGTGAGCTGTGTGCCCTGGTATACACGTGTGTGTGTGTGTATGTGTATGTGTATGTGTACATACAGAGATGTGTTCTTTTTCATGAGAAAGGACTCTAAAAGGAAATCACGAGAATTTTCATTGTGCTTTATAGAAAGTCCCTTTTGCCACAGGTCTATTTACTGAATAGGAGAAGGTTGTAGCATCTTAGGTGGAGAGCACAGTATGAGGAAGAAAATTCCACCTGAGACTCCAACAAACTGGGGGAGGTGGGGGAGGGACCCCAAATATTCCTGGGGACTGCAGAGAAATGGTGGATTTGGGAATCCCAGGCCAAGTCTGCTGATTTGAAATGGAGCTGTATTCCATTTCCAGTTTGACAAGCTGCTTTCTGTATCAAAGCAACAAATGAAACTTTCATTTCAGAAGGCATCTGTTCTCCCCGACCGCTCTATCAGAAGCAGCTATTTTCTTTAAATTGAAAGTCAAGGCAGTTTATTTTTCTCAAAACTGTGCTGTCAGCTCTTCTGCCTGACCCCTAACATTCACTTGTTCTGCAAGATGGCGGTTGTCTTATCCTGAAGAAGGGGCAGGTTGGGAACAGGCCCTCCCCGAGGAAACTATATACATGATATATTTATATAAATCTTTGCCCCCAAAGGGCATGCCTATCAGAGCTAGAGATGGAATGTATTTAAAGGGATACAGATATCAAACTATTCTTCCAGTAAGGAACGCTGAATCAATGTAACTTAAATCTCTTCCAGTATCACACCCCTTTTTTTAAATCTGTCTATCTATCACCACATGCTATGTATACTTTTATTGGGCATTTGGTATTTTCACAATAAAAGGGTAATGTTGCTTATTCTCATTCTTCCAAACATGCCCTATGCTATTTTTAAATGCTGAAATAATTGTGGCATGTTTAATACATACAACTGATGTTTGTCTACAAGCATATAATTAAAATGCCCCATGTTAATGTACATCAGCAATGTGAAAATGGGACTCATATCCTATCACTTAACCTGTTATATTAGTCCTCAAATATTTCCCACCAACTGCCAAAAGCTCATTGATTCTTTGCATTTATCTAAGCAATTTTTTTATTTCAAAAAGCATTTTCAATGCTTTTAGAATACCAATTTGCAACAAATATGTAATATTCCCTAATAATGAAATTGGTAGTAATATTACCAAAGATCTATTTGTTTTTTTGCTGTGATGTCATTAAGATTCTGAAATAATTTAGAATATCAAACAAATCATTCTTGAAGTTATAGACTTTCATATTTATTTCCTTAGATGGATTTCCTTTCAATCATAAACAATCATATATTGATAGAAGAAATGGGAAGATAGTTACCTTCCTTTTTGCATGTCATTAGCAAAGATGTTAATCATATGCACATCCTACAGTACTTAAAGGCAAAGGAATACCAAACCATTTTTTCAGTTAGAAACAACAGGAGGCCATGTGGGAGCTCAATCTAGAAACAATGAATTTTATGACTACAAACCTCACAATTATTATTCTGACAAAACTATATAACTAAAAATGTAGAAATCCCACCCTATGGCTTTCCATAGCACATCAATGTAGTTATGAAATGGTTATAAATTAGCCATTGGTAATTTACCCTTCTAAATGATTTAACCTTTCCAATTATCATTTCATCTGTTTTCTATATAAAAATATCAAAGAAATTCGAGATATGGAAAAGACAAGCTGGTAGAGGATCTGAAACTGATTTGGTAGCTTTGGAGTTGACATAATCTTGGCCTGGTGCAGCTCATTTTGGAAAGCTGCCTCAAATTTCCCTGGTTTTGAACTTTTTTTTTTCCTTACCACTTTCATCTAGCAAGAAATCATCCTGGTAACGGAACTTCTCCGGTCCACATGCAATAAAAATGTCATCGTCACCAAAAAAGTCCTGAAGGCACATCACCTACAAGAGAAAAGCATGGCACTCAGCAAGAGGTCAGCAGAACAGCAATTACAACAAAGCATCCCTGCAAGACGACATCTGCATAAAGCCACTTCCTGTCTAATGGAATCAACAGGGCAGCTTCTCTAGAGGAATTTCAAAAGAAGGTTCCAAGCATCTGTTACTAGTAAGAAGCATGTTACGTTTCAGTTGTGCAGGAAGACAGCAGAGGGAAAATAGAACCGGTAACTGTCACATTTTTTGCTGGATCTATCCATAGGCTAGGAGGTAAGAGCCCAATATTTTCATAATAGCAGGCACAGCAACATGTGGGGAAAGACTGGCCCTTCATTCTTTCGAATGTAATTCTCTTTGATCGCAATAAAAGTCAGCATGGGGTTTTAGCAACAAATATGTTTTTTCAGTAATTGATGCCATAGCGTGCACACGAGCTCTGCTTTGGGTAACTACTGAAGGCAAACATTTACATCGCAATATAAAATGTAATGTAAAAAGGAACGTTTTTAAAACCACCTCTTGTTATTTACTCAACTTATTCTCTGGTAAGAACTTGGAGCACTCAATGCCATTTACAAGTAAATGTAGCTAAAATGAACAATTTCAAATATTTGCTTTCTATCTTTGGCTATGTGGTATGGTTTGTTCACAGTACGTATAATGCCAACAGAAGGTACCAGAAACTCTGCTGATTTCTATCTAGTCTCAATTTCTTTTGACAACATGGAGCAAATCATAAAAAGCAATTGATTGAAGCCACCCATCCAGAACTGTAGAAAATCCTCTCCAGTAGCATTTTCCCTTGGATATTTGAAGATCAGAGAAAAACCCTCCTGGAGTGTTAGCTCCTTCTGGTCCATGTTTACTCCTCGTGAGCTGGCTCCTCCTTTACACGTTTCATCTGCAGGACCCCACATTTCATCTGGGGTTCTACTCTTGTCAGTCCCTGGTAGAACTACTCTAACATATGAGAAGCACTGCAAGATTTACAGTAGTACATCTAGAAAACAGCATCCTTTAGAGTCCCCCAAACCATAATATGTGGTTTCCCGACAATTTTTTCAAATAAACTCTCATTTCTTTTTAAAAAGATTTTATTTATTTATGTATACAGAGCTGGGGTACAGGGCAGAGGTACAGAGGCCATGAGAGGATCCACCAGAGATAGAGTGGGGAGCAGAACAGGCAAATCAACAAAGTACACTGCTGAGGGGAGCAGCAGGAGAGACAGAAGAGGTCTGCTGCACCATGTGGGTCACCTCTGGGATGGGGACTGAACTTGCACTGAGGCAGCTAGTTTGTGTTTAGCTGTGCAGTGCAGTGCTCCAACCTGCTGCGCCACCAGGGAGGGACCTAAGCTCTCATTTCTAAATAATCACTTGGCTGAAATGTTTAGAATGAAATTTCTATAGTCACTTCACAACAAGCATTAAGAGTGAATGAGACCACTGTGGCTGCCAGTGCAACTCTTCGAAAGTTTGAAAACATGGGTGATTTAAGGGACAACGTTATCATACAGGAAGATCAAGAGAAGATCTTCAAGAGCAGTGTCAGAAATTCTGAGTTATTTGGGTTAAAAGCAAACCATCCGAAATCAGAGTCTACTCCTGCTTCCTCTCTTTTTGTCTTATTCCAACTGTGACCCTGTTCATCTTTTTTTTTTTTTTTTTCTACCACTCTGTACCCTGTCCCAATTTTCTTGATTAGATCTGGTATGATCCAACCAGGTCCACATAGGCCATTTCATTGTATCTTCTGAGGTCCTACGGTGTCTATTTATGCCAGGTCATGTACATAAAAAAATGAATTAGATGTGTTCTCCCTACCAGGCAAAACGGTAAACCAAGAATCCTAAGAGGCAGCATTTCTTAAAATGGGAATGGTTACTAGGTGTTCTGCAAAAGAGAATTCTTTGACCAAATAAATTTGGGAAATATTGAGGCTACTCAGTGTAAACAGGTTTATTTCTGGTCCTCTCAAACCCTCACTATCTCATGTACTCCACAACTCTGAAGAGGAGATAGAAAAATCCAGTGCTTTCTCAACTTATATGATTATGGAGCTATTTTCTAACATGTATCACAAGGTCTAGTGTTTGATGGGATTCCTTTAGGAACTGTGCTGACAGGCACAGGTGAAGAAAAGTCTGAGAGCACCCAAAGGAAAAAGCTGACACCCTTCTCCTCCCAGGCAGCTGATAAAAAATATTTAATTATTCAAACATTTATAAAATGTTTATGATAGGCCTCTATCCCAAATATTTTGATGATGATTCTCTGACAGATAAAAAGTGTTTTCTAAAGGAAACTGCTCTTCCTTTCTACATGTTCCCATCATTTGCATTTTAAAACATCAGACTGCTAACAACCTCATCTTCAGCAATGGATACAGATGTCATACTGCTGCTATGTGGACAGAACTGTAACAGATCATAAGCAGGTTGTCAGCATTACATCCAAAGCCCACGCCCCAGCCTCCTATCCTAAGACTCAAAGAACAGAGCAGACGACAATCGAGCCTGGATAGTCTAGGTATAATTCTGTTAGCAAGTGGAAAATGAAACATGAAGAACTTTTGATGGTGTTTCCAACTCCAGGATTCCAAGAACATAAAAGGAATATGGCAATTGCTAAGGAAAAGTAACTGTCATCACCCAGCACAAAAAGATAGGAAAAAGATTTTTCTGAGCCAAGCAACATGTATTCATCTACCTCCCAGTCTTCAGTGACTGAAATCAAAGAATTTGTTGAGTCATTAGAAATAGAATTTCTGTGCTTTTTGCTCTGGCATCATTCAGCCATTTCCTTGTTCACAACCTCCCACCAGAGAAGGTGGTATGGTCAGTAGATCAAATTCAAGTTTGTAAAATTGCTCCTTTCTGGAAGTCATGTAATAGATGTGAGAGCAAAGGAGATTTAAACACCCAGGACATAATAAAGATGGACTTGGGATAATCTGTGCACTTCAATTATTTATGACTTCACTATCACTGATCTAGAGGAAGCTGCAATGTATTCATTCCATTTAACAAAATAAGAATAACAGAGGAAGATTTATAACACCTTTTCTTTAGACCAGCATACTTTTGACAATTCTCCTTTAAGCATTACTGTGCATTCCAATAGCAAAGGAATAGTAAAGGTAGAGAAATACAAAATTAATAGTTTGAATAATTATCTGATTTTATATAGCTATACAATGTTACTGATATTTTTAAACTTGTGCTTCTCAAAGTTCAGCCTGGAAACAAACTTAAAAGACTGAGTTCCAATTAGATATTTAAAAAATTTGCTCCCTGTTATAATGGAATGATGACAGTTGACTTCATCATGAAATCTCTACTAAGTAGGTATCCAATGTTGGAAGCATTCATCAAGATTAGATTCAGGGAGGATGCAAAGGCAGAGAAAAGCAAGTCTGGGACAAAAAAAAAAAAAAGATTTCACCTGTGTGGAAGCAGAGGCTTCCCTTCTAAGCTTTTCTCTGTCACCATCATTCATACTCCCAGCCCCCCAAGTGAGTTGGTGTGACCAGGGCCTTCTGTGCCTGACTGTGTCACAAGGGTCATAGCTGCTCCCTGCACAACATTGCTAAAAACCCAGGTCTTTTCCTATCCCATCTCCCCTTGCCTAATGCCCCATCAGTCATGAGCTCATTCTCCACTTGTGGACCTTGGCATTTCCTTCTCATGGATTTTCTTGTTCCAACCTTGTGTCTCCCCAATCTTTCCTGCTCAATACTGTCAATTGACTCTTTCTTAATAAGCTTTCAAAATCTCTCTCCATGATCTAAGAAACATCAATGGCTTACCATCAGATGGAAAAGTTCATCTTCTGAGATGGGTATTCCAAGTTCCTCAAAATCTAGTTACAATCTATTTTCAAGTCGAACTAGTTTTAGAGTTTTAGCTATGGCATCATGCATGCTACTTAATATACATTTCCTGGACAGGCAGAAGGATGGATAGAAGAACTATGCTTTAACCTCAAACATGTTCCAATTTATCTCAATTTATCTATTTGGCTTACTCTCAAAAAAAAAAAAAAAAACAACTTTTCTTCCCTACTTGTATGGTTTGGAATATATATATATTTTCCTGTGTTTTATCCCCTCCTATCTATTTGCCTACTCAAGTCCCTCTGACTACTACTCAAGATTCAGTATAAGACTCAAGCCTTTCTCTCCTTTTTCTCTCCATTCCAGTCCAAAGCACACCTACTACTTACAGGTGTTTTTTTTTTTTTTAAGATTCATTTATTTATGCATACAGACTGGGGTACAGGTGAGAGGTGCAGGGGCAGTGAGAGGATTCACCAGAGACAGAGTGGGGAGCAGAACAGGCAGATAGATGAAGTACACTGATGAGGGGAGCAGTGGGCAGGTCAAAAGATGAGTGCCACGCCATGTGGGTCACCTCCAGGGGCGGGGATCGAACTCATGCTGAAGTGGCTTTAGCTCCTTAGTGTTGTGCTTTAACCTACTGCGCCACCAGGGAGGGCCCTTATAGGTCTATTTTTATGAACTTTTTTAACTCCAGGCCTCTTGAATCTGTCATCAACATTTAGTTTCGTGGGAACCAGAGATCTGCACTCATTTGCAAATATTATCCTCTGTCCCTATACTAAAAACAAATTGTATCTCTATTATAGGCCATTCATAAAGGAGGTAATCAATTTATGGCACATAAATACTTTAACATTCTATTTTCAGTTCCCACTTAGTGCTTTTACTATAATATAGACATTTAAAGAACAAAAACTCTAACTCCCAGTAAAAGCATTCCATTTATTGCATAAGAATTTATTTCCAGAGGTGCTTACCGTAATGGCATACCCTCTATATCTCAAAAAACATGGGTGATTACAACTGCCAGATGTGCTAAAATGGCCCTAAAATGAGGATCAGGCGAACTGAGCTCTAAGCCTAGGTATGTCACAATCACTGCATAAATTTGGAGCAGTTACTTCAATTCTCTGATTATTAGATTCCATATTGATGCCAAT